GTTAACTGAAGCTTAGTGAAAGCTGAATTTTCCTTCTTTGATTGGGGATTTTTGTCTTCCAAGTCAGTATTTCATACTGATGGTGAAGTCAGTTGAAAATGGGTGCAATTGCAGTGCAAAACTGAAAAAAAAAATAAATTAAAAATTAAAAAAAAAAAAGCTGTACCTAGAGCTGGGTAACTCTCTGTTAACTTTGGGGATATTAGTGATTAACATTTGTTACTTTTCTGTCAAGGATTGTTATTATACTTTTTAAAATATGTATTAAACTTATGCGTGGTGATTACTGTGGTTGAAGTGGGGAACCATTTGTATTCTGAGCTTTCCGGGAAACAATACAGGGAGGTGAATACCCTGTGCTTTTCAAATGCATTTATTTGTGAAAAATCTGCGAATTTGCAGCCTTTTCTGTTACTGCTCCTTCCCCTGCCCTCCATCATCATCATCATTTGTTAAATTAACAGCTTTAAAAGTGCAACTGTGTGTGTGTGTGTGACTTAGCAGTTCTGTGCAGAGAATGCTGCTAATTGCTTTCCTACCAGGTCTCATCTCAATTAAGACTGCTGAGTTAGGTCTGAATTGGAGAAGGTGATTCTCTTGTATCCTTTTAGAGAAGTTAGAATTCTTTGTCTGTTCCTCTGCTAAAGTGTGCTCCCTAAATTTTGAAGAGGAGAGGTCGAGGGAAACCTGTCAGTTTCATTATTTTAAAGCAGCTTAGTCAATCATCTTTTCTCCCGATGTCTTGATGACTAAAGCATATGCTGTTGTATATGAAGAATCTGTAAAATGTAAATGCATTTAATCATCTTCAATCACAGTTTTTTGCAGAGTAAAGTGCATCCAGGAGAAGAGTTTTATGTTTTTTTCCTTTTTTCTTAGTGATTTTTGTAAATAAATCCTAAATTTGCAAGTTAAGCACTCTCTTTCCTAACAATCTGTGTACAGTGGGGATATCTCAAAACTCTGCTTCATCCTGTTCCAAATACCAGAGTTATTGCTCTTATATGAAATACATCATTTTCCCCTCATCTCTGTGGCACTTGGCAGTATCATGTCTCTGCTGTGGAGCTGTGTTTTGGTTTATGTAGCAAACCCAATGAAACGTGGTAACGCTGTCCTGAGGCAGAACAGGATCTTCAGGATCTTTAAATTTTAAAACGTGTGGATCTGTTACAAGTAACTCCTTTACGGTGATCTTTGTGTCAGTCAGAGGTGACGAGTGTTACAAATACATATATTGGCTTCTCACGAAGTACTGAAATGGATGTTATATATATATAATTTTAAAGTAATTTTACATTAGTTTTTTATTTCTATTAACTGAATTTGGGCAAAGTAGTGGAATAGCTGGTGGTTATGCTTGAACTGCTGCTCGGTTGGGATAACATCCGATGCACACATGATGAAGACCCCTGCTACTGCTATGCCAACAAACACACAGCTGTTAAACTTCACTTTATTTTTGTCTCCTATTGCCCTTTATTAAATTTTTATTTTATTAAAATTTTACCAGGAAAGTGCAGCTCATTTTTCACAACGAGGGTCCAGCCTGGCTCAGTTTTCACAGATCTGTCTTCCGTGGAAATGGGGCAATCTGTGTGTGGAACATTTTGTATTCCTGTGAAATTTTTTTGGAGAGAAAAGCAGCAGTTGATGTTTGCGTGGCTGTGGCACTGGAAGCGAGTGCCGAACTGTAACTCCATTTCTGCCTCTGTTGACTGTCAAAACTTGATTTGTTCTTACTGAAATAAAAGTGAATACTAAAGATTGCAAGCAGCAGCTTCAAAATAAAACGGGTGAAAAGTGATTTTGTCCTTGCTGTGCTTCCAGAGGGGCTGCACGCATGGGCAGAGCCAGCTGGGCACGTGCAGAGAGAAGGAGCAGCAGGAATCCCACGTTGGAGGCAAAACTGGGACGAGTTCCACCTGACAGGTGAAAAATAGCGATTCAAAGTGGGGCAGCAGCCAAGGTCCAGGTGTGCAGGTACCAAGCAGAGAGAGGGTGAGGGGAGTGCAGGGACAGCCGGGGTCTGTCCCCTCCTGTGGCTTCCAGCACTTCTGGAACAGCTCTGCAGCTTAAACTGCAAAAAAAACATGGAACATGCAAAATAAAGTTATTACATATATATATACACACCTTATATAGTAGTACATATATACATATATACCCCTTAGTAGTAGTTTGTAAATATATATATGTTACATTTATAGATTAAAATTCATATTACAAAAATATATAAACGTGTATAAATGTAGAATTATAAGCATAAAAATTTATTTATATATTCTTTGTGAATAATATAAGCGGATTAGTCACTATGGACATATCATGAATGTAATTTAAAACATTCAATTGTAGATATATAATGGGAATAATTTATTCCCAGTATCATATATATATATATATATATATACACACACTAGTTATCATGGATATATTGTGGGTATTATGTATCCATATATAGATATATATATATAGATATATAGATATAACATTTTGTATATAACGTTTATATAAGTATAAATATATTTATAATAGTAATATCGACATATGGATATACTATTATATATAATAACCATACAGGACATGGTATATTCATAATATACAGATTATTTATATATTATTGATAATGGTTTATGGCTATCCATAATGTATGATTACGGACATAAACATGTCCATATAGGATATAAGGAATATAATTTACATGATTATGATCATATCCACATATGATATGATTTTAAATTGTATATCTAGGATAAGGAGGCTGTAACAGGTATAATGATAGGGATATAATGGATAGAACGGGTGTAATTTTTACAATTTATAACCATACCCATGTCACGAAGCCCTCAGGGCCCTGCGGGCTGCCCCGCGCTGCCTGTCGCGACTGCCGGACGGCGACGGGCGAGAGGCCCGCTGAGGGCTGAGGTCGGTGTTTATTTATGACAATAATCATTACCTTTTGTTTTTCGTTTGCCGCGCTGGCGGCGGGC